TGCATATGGTGGAAAACACATGAGGGTAGACAGTGTCAAGAGTGATTAAATATTGCCAAAGAATGTTACATATCAGCTAACTAATGCTAACCATAATATAGGTCGAGGAAGATTGCCCCGGGTGCATTCAGACAGTTATATATGGTTATATAACTACTGCCTTCACTAGCAATGCATGCTCACCACATCACATTACAAAGATAACACAGATTATTCCCTAATCAGTGCTTTGTTGATAACTGTAAGTGCCTGATAAATTATGACTTGAATATAGCTTAAGCAGATTTTTGTATAGCTGGCATTTCTCTTTTTCAGATAATGCATTCAGAAAAGTTTTGCAACAGCAGCAAAGAGAGAATTTGTGTTTTCATTTGCAACACTTTGGAGATGCTCTGTTCTGTCTAGACTGCAGAATTGTTGACAATTTAACCAACTGAACCGCCTGCACTAAGCAATATTATATATGAATTTATTCAAATTTATTGTAACAATGAGGAGAACGTCTGAGTTTCTTTCTTTCATTTATGGTTTGGTATGTAGCTCTGTTTTACATGTCTTTGCATGTCACACAAAAAATGAACTATCCAATATGGCATGGCATGTTTTCTATAACAGTAGTGAGGAAAAAGAGCTGTAAATGAGGTCTGCAAACATAACTTTGTTTGACCATTACCTTATGAATATAAAAAGGAAGGAATTTAATTTGGATTGGAGGCCAACACATCCATATTGAAGGGATTTTAGGGCTAATAGTGGTGCTTATGTCCTGAAAGTGCCCTCTCATCGTTTCTCATTTTGAAGGGAAATATTTGAACTACTTAATAAGTGGCTGCTGACCACATACCCAAGGGCCTATTTTTAGCCTACATCAGCACTTGCTGTTAAAAGACAGAGGGAATGGTGGTTCAAGTATGAGAAATTATCCTACCTGTGTCAAACTTATATGGAATACACAACAAATAAACAAAAAAGGGAAAATGGCTTGGGAGAGAGATTTTACTCACTGCTGATGGTTGAGCATCGTGATTTAGCATAATGTTTAATGTGCAGGATCGCCTTAGAGACTTAGGTGAAGACGATATAAGTGAAGCTAATAGAATAAGCTTGCCTCCTAACATAAAGTTATTCTGAGTAAAAAGATGTGAATGAAAGTACAAGATCCGTACAGGAAAAATAACAACACCTGGGCACAAAATTCCAAAGTCTGACTTTTTACTCTATTGCCCCTCCACTTTTATATAGGATCATTTTTTGATTATGTACATCCTTACAAAGATGCTACTCTCCAGCTCAACCACACTTAAATATTACTCCAAAGGGATAGACTGGGGATTAAAATGCAACAGCAGGAGGTCTTAACAGTTTCTCTCTTCTGCTTAAACTCTTTACCCTCTTAAGAATTCTACTTCCTGTTCTGAGCTGGTATTACTGTTAACAAAGTCTAGCCTTAAGAGTAGGGGGAATTTTTTGAAGGATTCATAATTCTTAGACTTTTCTTAGAGTTTCATCACTGGGAGCATTTTGTTTTGCGAATATGGCTACAAATCTCTGTAGCAGCAATGTCTTACTTTGCATAAAACATACATGGTGATGAAATTTATAGTGTTAAAGTAGCAATATTAGAATTATTAGTATTATTTGAAGTAGACAAGCTGAACTTCTGAAATTCCTTCAGTATATGTCTCCAGCCCCCCCCCCCCCTCCCGTTGATCTGGATTTCCAAAGTCGTAGAACAAAAATGAAATCATGAATACTGCATCACCTGCCCTTACTGGTGGTTTGATATCCTTCTAGCTAATCTCTTCTCATCTTGAAGTGTCTACTGAAGACATCTGTGTCATAGTTAGAAGTTCAGAAAGGACCCTGATTGCTCTTTTTTCCATCATTAATTCTGTAACTATTACATAAATGGCTACAGCTTCCTCTACTCCACAATCAAGCAGCGCTTTGATGCAGAGGTGAAAATCAGCAGCTTTCTTATTCCTTCCTCATTTCTTGCTTGTAATCAGTGAGAAGGAGAGAAGGAGAGAAGGAGACAAAGGAAGGAAAAGACGAGTTGAATTGGAGGGTTGTGTTATCCAGCACCCAATGGTTTATTGATCCTTTCGGGGCCTCTCCAACCTTCTCTTCACATCATAGTGGAGTAAATTGGACTGTTTTCTTCTGTAGTGATTGACGCCTGATGTCTGCGGGCTATGTTTTTAAACTTGCATTGATATTTCCAGCAGACTGAAATTACTGTTTTCAGTCTACTCTGGCATTCTTTAGAATGATACAATTCTTTGAGTGCATACAGTGTCTGAGCTGACAGGTGACGAGTGTTAAGCTAAACAACCTACAGTGCATTGTGACAACTCTGTCAACAAAAAAAACAAAGGGAGACGATGACAAATGGCGCTTCTGTCACTTATCGCAAAGACTAACAAAACAGCATAACCCAGTCCAAGCATGAAATCGTGTGTGGAAGAAAATCCTTTGTTTCAAAAAAGATCTAGTGTTGCAGACTGAGTGCAAAGAAAGATTCAGCACCGTTTTGTGGTTCAGGCCTTTGTTTTAATGTCTCTGTGGGCAGGATGTGCTCCACTGGAAGGCGAGGCATCTATGTCTGGACATACCCAAGGAGATAGTTATTGTGAATTCTCTTACAATCATGGCTTCTCTTAATCTCTCTATTTGTCCTTGTCTAGTTGAAATGCTGTTTTCAGAATGAATTCATTCTCACCGTTACCTTGTGAATCCACAGGATGCGAACAGCAAAATAATGCTGCTTTCTTTCCTGCATATGTTCTCTCTCCCTAAACCTGCTGTTGAAACTTAATGTTAGTTGCCATGATTGAACAATATGTGTTTATTATATTTCCCAGATTATTCAAATGACACTGGTGACTTTTTTAGATCTTAGCCACAGAGCCAGAAACTTCGACACTAACTGGTATTGGTTAAGGCTTTGGTCATGCCACTGGGTACAACCACTGTTTGCATTGTTTTGTTGTTTTAGAGGAAGTGACAGCTTCACTGTCAGGGTTAAGAAGACCTCCCTGGATGATTAGAGAACTCTAACTTTTTTCCGTAGCACCAATTGTTTTCAAGCTCAAGCTGAAACCTTTTCCCCCTTTTTGTTCTTTTCTCTTAATACTAATCGCTATCATCATTATGTGTGGATTTTTAAAGCTAAAATTTGAAAACCATCTGAAACCAGTCATGGTAATTTTTTTCATATTTTACCCAAAGCTGGGTAGTTGTTAAATTGGATACACTACAATTTAGTTTAGACAACTCTAAACTAAATTGTAGTGTATCCAAACTTCAAATAGCAAACTTCAAATCCTGTCAACCCAGGTAATAACAGGTCGGTATTTAAACTGAAACAGATATTCAGAAATATTTATTTATTTGTAAATAATTCATTACTCTGTACGTGCTTTTCATGTCAGCCTCGGATCCGGCGTTGAGCGCATATCGCCATGTTGTCCAAGCTACTGGAAACCTCAGTTTACCCCTTTCCTTAGTTCCCGGTTCAACTACTAACTTTAAACCAGTCTCTCATCTGCTAATTATCAGTGGTTGCAGAATATCCCTGGGGTCTGATCAGCACCTAGCGTCTCATAAGCCAACCCACCACTCAATCCTGTGGTGCCTCATACTGCTGATTAAGGGATCTGAGCCCATACAAAAATAACTCACCTCTAACTCACCTCCACAGTCCTCCCCTCTCCTCATTTCTTGATTGAAAAATCTTCAGTTCACTTGGATGTATCTTCCACACATCATTAAAGAACAACCTAATACAGTGATCAGTACTCTTGTGGAAGTAACAGCATCCTCTAAGTAAAACTGATTTTAATCACTGAAGCATAGTGTTCTGGTTCATCACAGTTCATCTAGCTACTTTAAGAAAAACATAGCTGGGATTCTGCTAATGAGAGCCCTTAGCAGACTCATTTTTCATTTGTAAGCACAAAGGAAAGAGTCAGGAGCCCAGTCTGGTATTAATAAATCTGCAGATCAGATTTCTCCCTGCATCTGAAAGCTTGATCGGCTCCATCACAGGCTTTCTAATCAATGCTGATCTTATCCTCAACCAGCAATAAAATGCCCATAACACCATTATTTCATTGATAGTGCATTTTTCTTTCTCTTGAGAAACTGTTTGTTATTAACTGGAGATTATGTATCGGAATTTCAGGAGCAGGACCACGCCTCCAAACACGCTCCTTCTGGTTGTCATCTATATAGGTTCCCCCTGTTCTGCAAGCTGTTCATTCTCGTTTACGTGCCCCTCCCTCCCTTGTTCCCAATTCTTTAACTTCTTCATTTCTATGTAGTGCATGGGGATCTGCCAGGCCCGGGAGCCATCGCCAGTTCCCTTCGAGGCCTTCCCCAAACCGCAGCTCAATTCATGTCAAAGCATTCACTTTTACCTACTAAAACGCTGTCAAACCTAAGATGAGGACGTCGGTCCAGCTAGTGAATTTCAATTAGGAGGTCATTTATTAATATACATCGAGCAGATTCCCTTAGATTTGTGTACTACGCACAATCACTCACGCAAGTTGTGATAAATCACTGGAAGAACTGATGTTCTCCAACAGCATTACTGCAACTATAGAGTATTAATCATAAAGAGACAGATTATTACCTGTCCTCCATCCATCTTTTGCTTGTGACATCGCAGGGTCTAAACAAACAATCGCATGTTGGTTTTATCCACAATGTGCGTCAGGTTTGTCTGTAGGCACAGACAAACTGTTCTTATGCATCCTTGGCTGGCGCCAAACAATTCTGGTATTTTTCTACTGTAGTTCAAGATAAAACCATGATTTATTTGAAGACACGGCGAGTGAAAATGAGGTCCTCTCTACGTGTACACAGGTATTTTAGTAAACTTAGCTTATTCTTGTTTTAGTTGGGTAAAAACTGAGCTTTTGAAAAACTCCCTACAGGGTGAAGGAAGGACACCGTGCTTGTGACTGACAAGATTTTCTTTGTTTGTTCTGCAGCATCTCCAACTGTCCCTCCGCTACACTCGGAGCATTTCAAGCCCTGTCATGAGAAGGACTTGGCCTACTGCCTAAATGGTGGCGAATGCTTTGTCATCGAGACACTCAGCGGGCCTCACAAACACTGCAAGTAAGTGATAATTTATTGAAATACCTCTGCTTCTTTCCTTTTCTTATGTTCTCTTTCCTGCATCCATTCTCCAGAGATTTATGTTGTGTCTGCTCGGTATGTGGTTTGTTGTTCTGACATTTAGCTGTATACTTTGGATTAGATACTTGGTATATCATCATGCTACATATATTAAAAGTGATAATCAGTTAAAGGACATGCATACAAAATAGGCAGTTTTTCCTGTCTCTTTTCTAAAGGATAGATGGGTTAGGTTTTGTTCAGTGGTGCATATCTGGTGTAAATATGTGTGACGCAGCTATACACCAAATTAGGGCAGAGCAATATGGCCAAAAATATTTATCACGATACACATTTGAAAATTTGCGATAACGATATAACTGACGATATAATTGACACGAGACAAGATACTTTACAACTCCACAACTTTATTAGTGCAACCCCCCCCATTAAACCTTTAAAGCCGGTCGGTTTGCGTAACTATTTTTAAATCCTGGTAGAACTGCAACCACATAAGCTAGCGCAATAATTTTTTTTGCATATGAAACCGGAGGAGTTGTACTTACATCTTATGCCATCAGCTTGTCCTCGGTCACGGTTTCCTTCCACATATAGCTTTGAAAGAAATTGCATATTAACCACTTGCAGCAACAAAAACATAATATTCCAGAAACACGCTTTGCTGATCCGAGCAGCTGTTCGTAACACTTCCTACCTCAGAATAGACATCAGCGCAAACTACCGCATGTCCGCCATTACCTGCCTGGAACTGGAAGTGAAATCATTTTCGCGGAAATGTAGTTTTTTTTTTTTTTTTTTTTACCTTCAGGGCCTTATAAGACTATACTGGTGTTTTTAAAAGTTATGTTTGACTTTATGACTTTCTGTATCGTTCCTGGGATGCTTAGAACTCAAATTGCACTGCTGGAAATAGTTTATTTTGATGCATATGCTGTTTTTTTGCAAATTTGCATTATAATATTTATTTTCGTTTTTCCTGCAGTATATAAAAATTGGTGTATTTAAAAAAAAAAACTATGAAGACACTCAAAATAAATTTCCTGTGGTGGGAAACTATTTTGTGCAACTTTTTTGTATTTACAGTTTTGAGGGATAAGCTTCTTAAATTTCTCTAACTAGAAATATATGTTAAAAAAAACCAAAACGATTTTCAATTTTTTGTAGTTTATTGCACTTTTTTGCAATTTATGTAATTACTATGCACTTAATGCAGACATATTATTAAAATTTGGGCTATAATGATTGTATTGATGTATAGCAACTTCAAATGCTCCCAAAAATGGCACTAAAAAATGTAAAAATATAATATAAGCTCTGGCGGACTTGGCTCTATGGTAGGTCTTAAAGGGTTAATGTATTTTCACTTGAACAAGCAGCAGTTTTTTTATATGCATTAAAGCTATATAAAAAACTTAACAGTGCAAATGCAAATTCCTTGCTGACAGTTTAACTAAAAGATATTTCCAGTGGAAATTGGCCGACATATCCTCAGCATAACCATGTATAATATCCACATAACTTAAAAAGAGGTTATACACACACAATACGGTAATATTATGTTAAAGCAAAGTCCATATTACTGACTAGGGTAGCCGTAATGCTCCAACAATCAATCAAGTGGTATGGCTTCATAGCTTCGTACTAAAACATTTTTTGACAGATCTTTGAGTGCCGTGTACCACATAACATCGGTTCGGGGTCAGTAAGCACAACCAGAATTCATACATGAGGTGCACCAGATTATAAGGGGCTCTGTCGATTTTTCAGAAAATCAAAGGATTGATTTTAAGTGTGCTGTATTTTCCGAAAAACACGGTAATAACGACCGCCCGCTAGCATGCTCTGTCAAACATTGTGCTTTGGTGTGTATCTGATAGACGAAAGCCAAACCAGTTCCACACCACTGAAGTTGCACATTTTTACAAACCAATTCTGGTTCATCCGTTTCATTCAACTATCTGCTTTCACCCTTCTCATTCTCCGTCGCTGCCATGCTTTTCCACCATGTGCGTATGAAAACAAAGGTACTGCGAATGCATGTTTTAACCATATTCTATCGCGATATTTAATTTTCTTATCATTGCCTAACATTATACCAGTATTACTGTGAATGGTATGATATGGCCCAGCCCTACACCAAATATAATAAAATATGCAACAAGTTAGAGAAAGAATCTCCCTGCCAAACACTCAGATCACCTCATCGAGAGGTTCGCAAGATGATTCTCTTTCTTTCTTTAAAGATAGAAGCTTTTATTCACAGTGGTTAACGTGAACAAATGATTGGAGTCTTAGAGGTCAAGACCTAAAAAGGCAGCACACTCTCCTCTAATCCACTCTGCTGTTTAGTGTTAAACAAATACTACTAATTTCTCAACAACGGCTAAGTATGCTTCTTCCTGGTTTCACCTCCTCCTGCCCCAAAAGCTCTGCAGGTAGTCGCATATTGAATGATCTACTGGTTAAGGAAGGTTTGTGAGATACTGAACGTGCGCACCAATGACTATAAATGCTGTGAATCTATGCTGGCAACTGCCACCCACTGTGAAGGGGTAAGCTAAGAAAAAAATCCAGTGAATGTAGTGTATTTGATATTGTAGCAGCATCTGTAGGGACTGCTTCTTTATTTGACGTACTTTATCAAAAGATTCTTGCATCTTTGTCTTCCTGCTATGTGTCTGTGAGCATTATATTAATATCTACGTGCACCTTATTTGTCCCAGATTTGAGAGTAGAGCTCGTGGGCATTTAGCCCCTTTAAATGTGGGGCCTTTTACTAATTAAGTCCCAGAACAACTTCTTCCAAAATCTAACCTCCGGACTTCCATCCGACCTCCTTTTCAAAGAGTGTGTTTTCCAGCCCTGAGCTACGACTATACATCCATACGCATGTGAAAGTGTGCATGTGAGCATCCACAAATGAGGAGGGATTCTACTCAAGCAATGGAAGACTCGCTAAGCTGGAAAAATAAGATCAAAATGAATATGAGATGCAGTGGTCATTGTGCATTTGAACACCACACATGCACTCGGTCTCTTACACAAAAACAACAAACCACAATACTGTGAGAAGTCATCTCACATGGGAAATTTGTTATTTTCTGTTTACAAGTCTGCTTGCATGCTGCTGGCCAGTAATCAGTAGCCGGTCTCAAGTTGAACATCTGCAGGCAGTTACAGTTTAGACTCACAGATTTCGGCCAACAAATGGACTGTTATCATGCTTATGGGGTCAACAGAGCTACGGAGAATCAGACAGGAGGATTTGGACTTTACAGATAAATTATGCTGTTTTTTGGGAAGGGGGGTTAATTTTTTTCTGGAATAGGTTATTTGCCATATAAAATATGGTTCAGATATTAGAGGTTGCCCTAAATTGGTTAGCCACTTCTGTAGTTTTCAGTTGATTATGCACTGTGAGGTTTAGTAAAAACTCCACCAAGCCCAGAACAATCTGTTTTTTTTCCTCTTTTATTACAAGAACAGTGTTGTAGCTTGAACTATGACAAGAAAAGCACAGAAAAGAGAAAATGGGTGAGAAAGACCAAGGTGTAGGTGGATGAGGAGTTGGAGATGGGGGAGGACTGTTGTCCTCCCCGGCTCGCTTCTGTTGCCATGACAACCCAATAATCTGTGGACAAGCTCAGCTGTTAAAGAGAGGAGGGTTGTAATGTATGCCGGGACTGCCTTGATCAGGCTGCCTGCTAATGTTAATGCTTGTGAGGTAGAGAACAGCAGAGAGCTTAATCGCGTGGCAGCGAGCTTTCTAAAGGAATTGTATGGGCCATCGAGCAATACGACATTCACTCTGGATCTGAATAACAGCTGGTATGACAAAGCAGTAAAAGATAACATCTGGAGTTTAGAAAGGATCATCTTTAATATTTAGGAACTGGTTAGACTAAGATAATGCTTCATAGGAATACTTCAGAAGTTGATCTACTTCCTGAGTGAGGCCTTTAAATATTACAAACCATATAAAAGAGGATACATTTTGTTTCAGCTTACTCGCTTTGAGACATTAATTTATCATCATCAACAAAAGAATGATGAATTTCACCGCAGGCGTGAGATCAATGCATAATCTGATTCAGTTTGTGTTTACAACAAATTGAGACAAATCCACTTATAAAAGTGTGATCAATTCAGACAGTAAATGGGGATAAATTGAGCCGGTTTGTGGCATTATTTGCCACCGAATTAATCATTTTTTGTTAGTAAGACGAAACCTGATCCTTTTTGCAATGATTTCCTCCGACGAGTATCAAGTGGCATTCCCAGCCAGCTGTAAAACAGGTGTAGATTGTCCCCGGGAGCATTGTTTAGCGCTGGCACTGTGTGCAACGCTCGCGTTTGCCATCCTTATGGGATGGCTGCAGAGTCAGAAGGAGATGTGAGTCATAAGGACTGCTCGTCCTCTCACACAGAGACCCACCGTGCATACATGCCAGTGCTCCATGCTTTGGGCAACATAGTCAGGCATTCATTAGTGCTCAGCTAACCAGGAAATTAGTCACTGTGCTAAGATAATATTTTAAGAACATGGCAAGAGGCCAATGCATTGAGTTTTAAAAGTATGTGATACTGAATTTGATTAATTACTTTTTGAGCTGAGCGTGATTTTTTTTTTCTGAAGAGGACCAAAGGTCTAATAATAGCTGTTTAAATATCTTTCTGACCATTTTTCCTAAACACTTTTACAGTCATTTATCTCTTTATTCTTATCCTCTGATTTTAGAGAGAACTGTTGGCCCCGAGTAACGATTCTGCTATACGCTGATTCCTACTGAGCCAGCGATCCAGGAAATTTCACTTCACCGCTTCTTTCTTGGAACAGTTTATTTATTCTGTCTTCAGAGTTGCATGCAATGAATTTGGTTTCTGGACAGTTTAGTATTTATTTCCTTCTGCCAGAGTGACCAGGCAAAAACTGTGTCCTTGTGCCTAGTTAGCTAAGCCCGCCTCACTGCCCTCTGTTG